ACACACACACACACACACACACACACACACACACACACACACACACATATAATATCTGTAATATATAAATATATATATTTGGAGACAGAGTTTCTTTGCATAACAGAGCCCTGGCTGTCTAGGACTCCCTTCGTAGACCAGGTTGGCCTTGAACTCACAGAGATCCGCCTGCCTCTACCTAGGGCATGTGCCACCACGCCCAGCAACTTACATACTTTTGGTCATTAAATGACCCTTCACACACCTATGGCACAGTCACTAGGACCTCATGCTGGATTCCCTCTGGCTCCCCAGTCCTGTGATTGTCATTGAAAAGAATTCATCCGAGGTTCACAGACCTTTGTGTAGAAGGTGGGAGAGTTTATTACAGAGTCACGCAAGGACAATGTCCTGGTCTCCACCTCTAGAACAGGCAGTGTTTCCTGGGGGGACTTTGTCTTGTCTATGTGATTGACAAGCCCAGCTGGAGAGGGCAGGGGAGCATCCATGTTCTTTCTCAAACGCCTCTCACAGGGTTTCAGCTCCTGGAGTAGCTCAGGGCATCCTGTCCCAGGGCCACAGCTGTGACTCAGGCTTACTGACCAGTAAGTCCTGCATCCCATGCACTGGGTTTCATAGGTTGCTGACTGTGTGTGTGTGTGTGTGTGTGTGTGTGTGTGTGTGTGTGTGGCGGGGGTGTGTGTCTGGCCCTACCCAGTGTCCTCCAAACTGCCCGTATCCAAGTGGACTCCAAACAGTGTGGTCTGAACCGGGACTCACCAGCAGCTTCTGCCTCAAAGTCTGTCACCAGGAGGCCTCAGAGACCTTGGGTCCCACCCAGTGGAAGGCTCCCAAGCTAGCTGCATTCTCCATCAGTGGGACCACCAGCAGGACCTCATAAGGTCCTCACATCCTGCCAGCCTTCGAAGATGTCGACACCACAATTCCGTCCTCCCCAGGGGAACCAGGGTCCACTAACCCACGTCTCTGCAGCCTGTCTCCTGGAGCACTCATCATCTTCATGCTGCGCTGTGTAGTCCTGTGTGCTCCCAGGTTCTACCCCGGCATTGTGCTCTGCCATGTGCAGCGTGGAGTGCCGGGTGTCCCTCTACCTGTGGACCTAGGGTGGGATTCCATCTTACAGAAGGGTGTGAAGAAAAGCAATGGAGTCCTCAGTGTGTTCCCAGTGAGTGCAGGTCTGTCCCCACACCTGCGCTTTCCTCTGCCTCCTCCACAATCGACCTGCCACAGGATGTCACCAGGCCTACTGACTTCCTCACCACTCCCCTTCTCTCTTTCCCACCCCTTCTCCTTTCTTTCCCTCTTCTTCCCCTTTCCTCACCCTTCTTCTTCCCTTCCTTTATGTCTCCCCACATTTCTCTCTCTCCTCTTCCCCATTTTCCATCTTCTTCCTCACCCCTCTCCTCCTCTTCCTCAGTCTGTCTTCCTTCACCCCCTGAACAGCAGAAGATTCCCCAGCAGGCCTGGGCATTCAGCCATGAGAGGACGCTAACTTGCGTCCCTCCTGGAGACAGTGTTGGATTTCTCAGACTTCCCTGCCTCAGAGGTCTCAGTCCATGGGAGCCTTGGACATCACAGTGGCAGTTTGTGCTGACAGTATGACTGTAGGCATGAACCCGGATTTGGGTATCTGGGGTCCAGGGCTATGTCCTGCAGACACCAGAGATGGAGAGCATATCAGTCATGTGACCCCTTTGAGTACGGAGCCCAGTGAGTGCCCTGCACACCAGGATTGGCCAGCAACTGCGGAGAGCAACATTCTGGACATGTCCATTGGAGCCATTGGGCAGTAGGTGGTGGTAGGGTTTTGCTCCACAGTCTACCTGGGCACTTGTCTCTGGATCTCTATCAGCTCCCTGTCATGGTCTTCACCTTAGCTCCACATTGTCTGTGACTGAGAATTCTATGTTAATTGTGGTTTGTGGTCACCAACACCCACAAAGTGAATGAGCTTCCCCACTCTGTGGTCCCCCTCCCTTGCCCTGGCCCTGTAACATGGAGTGACCTCCTTTTTCTCCTCAGAATGTTCTTAGGCAATACTGGTGCCTCCAGGAATAATGAGGGTGACGTTTCAGCCTCACTATGTACCCAGTCGCATGGGTCTCGGATCTTGCTCAGGGCTCCCTGGAGTTGTCATCACGTGCCTCTGTCCTGTCTCCTGGGTGACCCCCTTCCTCCGTCTCTGCAACACAAACATGCCAGGGCCACCACCTACTCCCGCCTGAGCAGTTTCTACATCTGCTATGCTCTCAGACCTGCTGGTTCCCACATGTCTCAGCTCCATCCTTCCTGCTGAGGTCCTGACTCCATACCCGGCACCGGAGTTGGGAGACTCATAGGTTTTGGGTTGTGTCATCTGAGCCCTGGGTCCTCATGTGCCTAGAGCCTAGAAAAGGGGGATAGTACAGAACAGGAAATGATGACTGTCAGTTTACTAGGGAGGCCACAGGGACCTCACAGGTTGTCCTTCATGGTGACTTTGATCCAATTCGTATATAATGTCACCTTGGTGAATAGGCTAGGCCGGCTGGGCCAGGCACAGGGGTCACCACCCCACGATGTAATACCTTGGAACACCCCATCACAGACGAGCGGGACTCCGGAGTCAGCCTAAGGCAGGAAGGCACAGGGTAGAGTGAGAGAAGGCACCCTCCTTTCTGTGTGGAATGCCCCATCTCTCACGCTTGACCACCAACAGACTACTGACCGCAACCTCCCAGCCACGCCTTCCAGAAGAAGGCAGGATAGCTTCCCAGAGGGGACACAGCGTGGACCCTGGGGAAGGAGGAAGGGGAACAGGTGCAGCTGCTACCCTGACGGCAGGGTCCTCATGTTGGTAGAGGGGAGCAGAGGGAGGGGTCAGCGGCAGGGGGACAGAGGTGACAGCTCCTCCTGGGGGAGGGGGTCATCTCAGGGCCTCATGAGCTTTTCCTAGACAGACACTCCATGGCCAAGACCCTGAGGGCTGGGGGCAGGGGCTGGGAAAGGTCAGCTCTGACATTGGAAGGGATGCCTGGAGGCCATGCAGTAAAGGAGACTGAGGCAAAAGCCTGTGAGGAAGGCGGGTGTGTGTGTGTGTGTGTGTGTGTGTGTGTGTGTGTGTGTGTGTGTGACCAGGTGAAGATAAGATCAGGAGTCCGCCAGAGACAAGCCCTCCTGCAGCCTGATCTCCTCACAGACACAAGAGGGCGCTTGTGAGCAGAGTCAGCGGGTCCCTGTTCTGCTCAGCACCACCCCAGCACACCAAGGGTAAAAGCGTCCCAAGTGGCTCAGCTGAAGCCCTTCGGAAAGTGACCTCCTGCCTGCTCTGACCCCTGTTCACACTCTGTCTGCTGACACTTATCTAGTCACTCAGCTGACCCTCAAACCTCTCAGACCCTCTCCCCTGGGGACCTGGCACCTGCTTTCCTCCGGGCACCCCCACAGCTGTGTCAGGTGCTGCCTCTTCTCACTTGGCACACAAAACTCCCTCCTACCACAGGTAACCCTCCCCAGCCTCCCAGGCCTCCTGCCTGCCCCACAGCTTCACTTATGATATTTCACCCCATCATGTCTGCGTTGTGCTCCCTGCTCATGGCTGCCTCTCTTTGTGGGGCTGTGTTCTCCACATCAAAACTTCCCTTCCTGGAGTGAGCACAGGGACTCAGGAGGCCCCTCAGGAGGGGAGACTCTTCAGCGAAACTGCTCGAAGTTGTTCGGGGGACCCCAGAGGGGCAACTTTCCTGAGCCGTCACCTATGCTGGGGTGTGCTTTTTGGTGATACAGGTGCTTTCAAGTCCCGAGGCTAACCCCGATAGCTCATGAGCTTACCAAGGTGGATGGAATAGTATGTCATCTTCTCTTGTCTGTGAGAGTAGAAATAGTTGCCCCAGGAAAAGCCATGCAACACTCCCACCCCCATACTGGTGCTCTGTGCAGCGGGGGCTGCCCTATGCTCACTGCTGGCTGCCCAGGGTCTAGGATGGTCATAGACACCTAGGAGATACCTAAGGTTCATAGGCAGAGAAGCCTGGATGCGGGAGAGTGAGAGAGCGTGCCGTGGGGAGGAAGGGACAGGCCTGCAGCAGAGGAGGTTTTGTCAGACTAGGGAAGCGGATGGGCTGTGGGTTCCAAGCATCGGAGTTGATGCTGACTGGAGATGTCGCAGCCCAGAATCAGTTTGCTTTACTCCTGTCTTCTCAGGGTCCTAGCGGTTGGCACTGCTCACCATGCAGGTACTTTTGCCGCCTTCCTGGTGCCCAGCACACAGCAGGAATTCTGTCACATTCTGCAAATAGGCCATCTGGCAGACATCATGGGGCATGAGGTTGAGGCCCACACACACACTGCAGCTCCCCTGCCCTGACAGCTGTAGGCAAAGAACACATGACCATGGAGGGTACACAGAAGCCCAGCAGCCCAGCCTTGTCATCCAGAATGGTACTTCCTGCTCCAGGCTACAGGGTCTGGCCCAGGCATACACTTATCTGGCTTGATGATGCCCCAGCCAGAAGCCAGGCAGCGGCTCCCCAGCTCAGGCTCCTTAGTGGGCAGGCTCAGCACCCTCACGGCCTCTGTGATGATGGCTGGCTTACGCAGCTGAAGCAGCATCAGGTCGTGGCTGTTGTCAGCGTCGGGGCTGAGAAATCTGGGCTCTAGGAGGCTCATGTCGAGCGGGTGTGGGATGGAACGGCTGGCAGCTACGTCCTGACCAGTGTCATCATTAGCATCCAGGCTGTGCTGACCCAGGCACACCTTGCTGTCGCTAGGGAGGAAGCAGGGATACGGGAGAAGAAAGGGGCCAGGGCATCTGGGCAAAAGGGGGGATGAGAGGAGAAAGAGATGGGGAAAGAGCAGGTGGAAGCAGGAAAAGCAGAGACAGCAAGAACATTCTGGAAGGGGAGGGGTGAAAGGCAGACACAGAATGGAAAAGACAGAGTTACCGGGCTGTGTAGGTGGCTCAGGGGGTTTGTTCTTGCTGTTCTAGTGTAAGCACCTGACTTTGGACCTTCAGAACCTACATGAAAATCAGGATGAGTGGCACATGCCTGCGGTTTCCGGGCAGAGGACACGGGCAGGATGATCCCTGGAGCTGCCCGGCATTCAACTCTGCTGAACTTTTTAGCTCCTATCTCAAAAAACAGCAGCTGGGGGCGGCTGGAGAGACAATGGCTCAGCGGTTAAGAGGCCTGATTGCTCTTCCTCGAGGCCCTGAGTTTGATTCCCAGCACAGTCAGGGTGGCTCGCAACTGTCTGGAACTGCAGTTCCAGCCCATTTTTGGGTCTCCAGGCACCAGGCACACACATGGCGCACAGCTATACATACATACAGGCAAAACTCTCATGCACAGAAAATTGTTATTAGTGTTATTAAAAAAAAAAAAAGATGAGGACAGCGAGAAAGCTCAGTGGGTAGGGGCACTTGCAGTGAAGCCACATGCTCTGAGCTCAGTCCCGGGACCCACGTGGCGGAGGGAAGGTACTGACTCCTGCAGGCTATCTTTCGATCTCCAGGTGTGTACAATGGCACGCATGCTCACACGTACACACACTCACACATTCACACACAAAAAACAAATACGTGCGATACATTAAGTTAAAGAACATAAGCTGGAGAGCAATAGGGGACGGCAGCTGACATCTGCTTCTGGCCTCCACGTGCACACGCACACTCACTCACAAACACACACCAACAGTACACACACAGACACCACACACACACATCAAAACGAGAGACCTACAAAGGTGAAGGAGGAAAAGGGCAGAGGAGGGCACCATGGGAAAGCATACGGGGGCCAACTGGGGGCAGACGGAAGACAGAGAAAAATATTCAAAGTGGATAAGGGAGGCCAGAAGTAAAGAGAGAAAGAAATGGAACAGAGAAGGGGGAGGGCCTGAGAACCACCCAGGGGCACTGGGGTTGGCCCCAGCTTCCCTGGCCCACAGCGCCCAGGGTCTGAGCCTACTTCCCCTCACACTCTGCCCTCACTTTGTACTCACCCAGCCCAGCCCAGCCTTTTCCCGTGTGTCCCCAGAATGTACATGATGGTCAATATGGGGAAAATGAGGACGTCTCTCACACGTGCATATTAGGGGTACCCCTTCCTGTCTACTAGGTCCTCCTTAAGCCACTTTTTCAGTGTAATCAGTAGCAATGGAGGAAGGAGAGGGAGCCTGGAATAGCCCAGTGAGGGGCTCGGAGTGTGGCTCAGTACCATAATACTTTCATACCACATGAAAACTCTTATATTCAATCCCTACACCTGAAATAATAAAAAAATTAAATACATACACAGACACACACACACACACACACACACACACACCAAACACTAAAATAAAAACAACACTCCTAAGCACATAAGCAGCCACGTGACAAGACAGCCAATCTTTGTTTCTGTGGACATGCTATCTTTGTTAGCTGAGGCTGAAAGCAAATCCACCACCACAGACTTTGTTTGTTGTCCTAAGCAGTAAAGAAGTTGGTTGTAAGGTGGAGAGTACATTTATTATGGGGACAGCAAGCAAAGCTGGTCTCCGGAGATGCCATCTCACAGGGCTGCCTGCTAGACAAACATCCTTGAAGGGCAGCATGGGACGAGGCAGGAGTGATGGCCTGGCTGGAGGAGACATGGCACACTCCTGTCTCCCCAACGCTCTGCTCAGGGCACCTCAACAGTGTGTCAGAATTACTCTGACAGCCACACTCCTCATCTCCTTGGCAACCAAGGCTGAAGGTCCAGCTCCTGACACTGTCTACAGCAGCCTGTTGTCAGTCCAGAAGAAAGGCAGAGTTAGAACCTGTGGGGCTTGGCTGAGTTGAGGACCCTGAGTGGAACCAGAAGGGCTGGGAGGCTGGATTCTGAAGGAGGAGGAGGCTGAGTTCAGGCTCAGGGTGAGGAGGGTGGAGGTCCAGCAGCTGAGGCTCTGGAGGGGCCACACCAGAGATGGGAATAGCTCCAGGTGTCCAGGATTCCTGCATCCTTGGAAGAAAGAACTAGAAGCTGAGGGGCTGCATTCCAGTTGTCTGTGTGTCTGTATGTCTGGGAGCTCTGTGACCCTGATAGGCAGGAAGAGCTGGTCCAGGTTCTAAGGGAAGAGATGGAGAAGCAGATTCACCCCCTTTCGTGGTCTCGGTCTCTTCTTCCCATCCCTCCACAAGGGTGCTCCAGAGATAGTACAGTGAGCCATGTGTGAATTCCCAGGGGACTGGGGGCTCATCCTGCCTCTTCCAGAAACCAGGCTGTGAGGTGTCCAGCCACTGCCATGATGTCATGAGCCTGCTGGTAGCGCTCACATCTCCCAGGCCAGGGTCACCCGGAGAGCTCCCTTGTCCACATTTCTAGGGACAGCTGATGTGATGCTCTCTGGACTGGGTCAGACAAGCAGCCTGTGAGCCAAGGGACCCTGGTTGAGGGGGCTTGAGGGAGGCCAGGCTCTACAGTGACGGACTCTCTGTCTTCTGCATGGAAGCAGGAAGCACCTGCCTTCAGGAGCACCACCCACTTCCACTCTCCTTCAGGTGTCTCAGCTGTTGGGCTGTGCGGATCGCCCCAGGGTCTCATTCATGACTAGAACAAGGACTAGTCAGGGTGCCTGGCACATAGGATCCTACGTGGAGGCAGGGACCCTCTGTGATCCTAGCTGACAGGGCTTCGTGGTGACAAGCGTGGGTGTGGGGCATGTGGACTGTGCCACAGGGAAACCAGCATGGAGCTAGAGTGAGGTAGAGACATGTCCAAACCCTGAAAATCTCAGTCTTGAGACGGACAGGAGGAAGATTACCCCCTCCCTGTCCGTGCCTGCATGTCCCTGCGTCTGTCAGCAATTCTCAAGGTAGCACCTGGAATTCCTCTCCATGCAATGAACAATCCCCACCACCTCAGCCCCAGCCAATGATATGTACCCACCTGGAAATCTGTTCCCATCCCCCAACGTCCATACAGTCTTCGCTCACCCCAAATGAACATACACAAGCCGTTTCACCACTCTCATCTAGGAGCTGCTGTTTCCCTGGGAGAGCTCAGAGAGCTGTGGCAGAGCCCTCTGGGAAGGCCTTCTCCCCAGGGCACTCCCCGGGGCACTCCCCGCTGGACCGGGATCCTGCACACCACCCGTGCCAGCTCTGCTTCATCCTTCCCAGCTCAGCGTGCCACGTGCCTGCACACCCCAAGGAAGCAGAGCATGGAACCACTCGTGGGGTACATGTGAGCATCAGGATGGGCTGGTGCTTGGGTTCCTCTGATCACTTCAAATGCTCCGAGGATGAGGATTGGAGAGGATGCCAGACCAGCGTGCACTTGGCAGCCCTAAGCAAGCCTTTTGTTCTGATCCTCCTCTGTGACACAGCAATTCGATTTTAAATGCAGCCAAATCCAAACTCTGAGTCTGAGTCATGTGCTGAGCAGACACTGGGCTCTTAAGGGGGTGCCCTCGGCCTGAGAGAATGTGGCCATCAGTGGAGAGGGCATGGGCATGGAGGGTGCTTAGGGGGTTCATGCAGTCCATGTCCTTTACCTGAAGATGGAGTCACAGGGAGAGTCCTGTTTCCTGATTTCAGGGTGCTGGGCAGGAGCGTCCATGAACCGTGAGAAGGAAGGAGGCAGATTCTGTGCAGGTGAGTGTGGGTACCTGAGCTTCGAGTTCTGAGACCATTTCAGCTACATTAGGAGCTGAAGGTGCTTGGCATGCAAGCATGGAGATCTGAGTTCCAATCCTGAGAACACTTTTAACAAATGAGCACTGTCACACACATCCGGAGCTCCCAAAATGTCAGGGGTGGAGACAGGAGGGCTTGGTTCAGGGAGAGACCTTGTCTGGAGGGAGTAAGGTGGACAGCGATAGAGAGGGGCATCTGGTCCTCCCCTGGCCCCCACAACCACACACAGATGCATGTACCTGCAGACACATCCACACCCCTACACACATAACATTAAAAAAGAAAGGAATGTCCTGAGGTGGTGGAAGTTAGTCTCTGGGCTCAGAGTGGCACTAGGGTCATGGAGGGTGCTGTTTACTGACTTAGTCAAACTGCTCTTCTATATACCTCAAGAGCTTCTGCCATGGTCGACACGTCCACAGTGAGCGGGGTCGTCTCACATTAGTATAATCAAGAAACTGCCCTACAGACTTTCCAACAGGCCAGTCTGGTGGGGGCATTTTCTTGACTGAGGTTCTCTCCTCAGGTGACTCTAACTTGTGTCAAGTTGACAAAAAAACTAGCCAGCACAAGGACAGTGTGCACCTGTAAGCCACCTGTGCCAGCCGGGAAGGTGTGGGGCTAATCAGATGGGAAGCGAGCAGAAGCTGAGTTAATGATGAGAATCAGAACAGGCTTTCCAGAGACACGGGGACACAGGAAGGTAGTCATGCCATGTTAAATAGCCAGAGAGCAGAGAACAGGTGCCTTCAGTGGGCAAGGCTGGGTGGCTGGTGAGTCCCAGTAATCTCCCCAACACGATGCTACAGGCAGGGCCAGGGTTACAAGCGTGTGCTACTACACTTGACTTTGCCTTTCCTTCCTTCGTTCCTTCGTTCCTTCCTTCCTTCCTTCTTTCCTTTCTTTTTGCACAGGTTTTGGGGCTCAGACATGGGAAGGTCCTCATGCTTACCCAGCAAGCTCTTTAGTTCCTGAACTGTATCCACAGCCAGGAGTCCTGGGCCTAATAAGAAAGGAAGGCTACAAGGCAATCTTCTAGGCTTCTTTCCTCATGGGAATGTGTTCCTTATGGTCTTGAATGGCAGTCGGGTGCCCCTTCAGGGACCCACTGTATTTATTGTTCCTGGGTGTTAAACAGGACAAACATGGGGACACAGAATGTCTAGCACACTGAAAAGTAAGCATAGCCACTCTGGAGGAGACATGATTTATAAGCCTGCTTGCTGGCTCAACGTTCGTCTTTCATTAAGTAAAACATTTAATACATATTTGCAATGTTCATATTCAGCCTCGCTCCTCCCCTCAGTTCTTCCCAGGTCCACCCATTCGCCTCCAAATTTGTGTTTTCGTCTTTTTCTTCCCGCTCCTTCTCTTTTTCTTCTTCTTTTAAAATAATCCACGGAGTCCATTTGTGCTGCTCAGATACTCACGGGCATGGGGCCACCCACTGAATGCTGGTCAATTTTCAGGGGTTGTGCCTTTAAAGAGAACTAATTCCTCCCCCACCAGAGGCTGTCAGCTGTCCATAGCTCTTTAAGAGCGGGGTCTTGTGGGCCTCTGAAGTCATCATTTTGACAGGCTTGATCTTGTGTAGGTCCTGTGCAGGCAACCACAGCTGCTGAGAGTTTTTGAGTGCAGGGGTCCTGCCATGTCCAGAAGACACTGTTTTGCTCCAGTTCTTCCTGACCTTAGATTCTTACAATCTTTTCACTCCCTCTTCCATGACGGTCCCTGGTGTGTGTGTGTGTGTGTGTGTGTGTGTGTGTGTGTCTGTGTTATAGATGTCCCATTTGTGGCTGACCACTCCACTGACACTTGTTCTCAGCACATTGACCAGTTGTTGGTTTCTGCATTAACCACCATTCACCACACAGAGACACTCTTTTGATGAGGTCTGAGAGTGTCTTAATTAGGGTTTTATTGCTGTGAAGAGACACCATGACCATGGCAACTCTTACAAAAGAAAACATTGCATTGGGCTCACGGTTTCAGAGGCTCAGTCTATCACCACCATGGCAGCATTGAGCTAGAGAGGGAGCTGAGAGGTCTACTTCTCGATCCGAGGGCAGCCGGAAGAAGACCGTGCTCTGCAGGCAGCCAGGAGGAGGATCTGCTTCCACACTGGGCAGAGCCTGAGCATAGGAGTCCTCAAAGCACTTCCTCTAACAAATCCACACCTACTCCAATAAGGCCACACCGCCTAATACTGCCATTCCCTACGGCCAAGCACTGAAACACATGAATCTATGGGATCAAAACAAAAACACAAGGGAGGGCGAGTGAGAGAGGGAGGAAAGAGGGAGAGACAGAGAGACTGAGAGAGAGACAGAGGGGGGAGAAAGAGATAGAGGGAGTGCGGGGAGCAGACTCCAAAGGTTTTTGCTGATTTCTCTGTTGACCTTGGTCACTTTGGGCCCCTTCCACGCATCCTAGGAGCCTCCATTCAGGACAGGCCACAAGAGGGACAGACACCAGCCACCAGGGCTGTAGTGTAGAGAGCTCTGTAGTGTTTTGGAGCAGTTCTGGGTCTGCCCACTAGATGCCAGCATCTCCCGCTAAACTGGGAAAACTGGAAATGTCTGAGATGGTCTCCACCGTGCTTCTGAGAGGCAGACAAAGAGACTCACACCCATGATGAGAAAAGGCAGGGGGACTGGAAGGGAGACAGGGAGCTAGACAGACAGTGAAATCCAGAGACAACAAGACGGGATGGGAGGGAGTCTGAACAGGGACTGGGGATCATGGTGAATTAATGACAGATGTGAACAAAGGTGGTGTGGTCAATTCATTCAGGGCTCTGCGTCTGTCTGGGTTTTACTCTGAGCATTTGATCATCATTGATACATTTTAATAACAACCACACCTGGCGGGTCTTATTAATGCCTGCATTTCACTGAGAGGAAAGCAGAAGCACAGAGAAACTGATTATCTTATCTGAGCCACACAGCTAGGATATGTGACATGAAAAGCTCTCTTAGGGGCTGGGGAGATGGTCCAATCACTAACATGTTTGCTGTGTAAGCATGAGGACCCGAGTTTGACCCCATGAGGGGACTGGAGAGAGAGCTCAGCAGTTAAGAGCACTTGCTGCTCTTTCAAAGGACTTGAGTTTGGTCCCCAGCACCCAAATTGGGCGTCTCACAACCGCCCCTATCCCAGCTCCAGGAGCCAATGCTTCCTCCGGCCTTTGTGGGCACATTCACAGATCCAGGTTCACAAGTCCATGTTAACACACACACACACACACACACACACAATTAAAAATAAAAATAAATCTTTCTTTAAAATTAAGAAGTTACATAAGGTAAAATTTACTTTTTTGGGTGTGTGTGTGTGTGTGTTCTTCCAGTCCTGCAAATTTTGATCTGCATAGTCTTGGGTGTGGTGTATATGGGGGTCAAAGGATAACCTCAGGTTTTCTCTGTCTCTGCCTCTCTATCTCTTTACGTATGTGTCTGTGTGTGTGTGTGTGTGTGTGTGTATGTGTGTGTATGTGTATGTATGGGTGTGGGTATGTGTAGGCTGAAGGCTGATGTTTGGAATCATTTTCAATTGTCCTTCCACCTTACTCGTTGACTCTGTCCCCACTCTCTGAGGCTGGGATTGCAGGCAGCCTCCACACCCTCTACTGACTGAAAGGTCTCCTCAGTCTGACAACCCCTGCCACCACCACCATCTGCAATCTTCCACCTCCCCCACATTGTCCTGTGCCTCCCTCAGGTCAGGTAAGTTCCTGGAGAGTACTGGCTTGTGCTTTTTGGCCCTAAATATGCTGGGTGTGGTGGCACACATCTGTAATCCTAGCACTCGGGGAGGCAGAGGCAGGCAGATCTCTGTGAGTTCAAGGCCAGCATGGTATACAAAGCAAGTCCAGGACAGCCAAGGCTACACAGAGAAATCCTGTCTCGAAAAACATATATAAATAAATAAATCTGCTTTAATTTAGAGACAGGCTCTCTATAATCAGAGCTGGCTTCAAACTTGAAATTCTCCTGCCTCAGTCTCCCCGGTTCTGGGATTTTAGATCTGACTACCACATCCAGCTCTGTTGTTCTCTGCTTGTTTGTTTCCTAAAACAGGCTCTTGTGTAGTCCAGGCTGGTTCTCTCAAATAATGGATGTAGCAGAAGATGGCCTTAAAGTTGTGCTTCTCCTGCCCTGAGCCCCCAGGTGTGTGCTCGTTCCCTTTTATACGGAATAAGATTTTCTTGTCTGGAAAGACCAATTTAAATCAGTTTATGGGACATATGCTTTCTTTGAACAATAAAGATTTCCCTCATTCCTGATCTCCCCTGCTCTTTAACTTAGTGTAGGGACTGACAGCTAATTTTCTTAGATCTGTTTTTTTTTTTTTTAAATGGTGTGTCAGTGAGGGTCAGTGTTTTCCACTGGCTTACCCAAAGCCCCCAGCATTCTGCTGCTTCCACAATAGGTACTTGAGATATAACTGTGGAATGAGTGAAAATGAGTTAATGTTTTCTAAAATGGGCCACCATGTCACAATATGGCTGTGTCCTTCAGTCTGTGCCTCCCTATCAAGACACCTGTCTGGATATATCTTTCTCTGGTAGACAAAATTATTTATTTTGTTCTCCTTTCTTCTCCTTCCCTTCCCTCTCTCTTCCTTTCTTTTCTTCTCTCATCTTTCTCCTCCTCCCCTTCATCTTCATCCCTTTTCCCCATTCCCTCCTTTTGCCAGTCTCCCTCCTCCGTTCCATTCTCTCTCTACATAGATATGTGTAGCTGCCTGTCTGAACATGTTCGGGGTCCCTCATGGAGTCCATGGTTTGATGCCAACAGTCTGAAGTCACTCCCAGTCTGGCCTCCTCTGGACCTCGGGGCTGGGGTTGACATCGTCAGGACTGTGGAATCCAGACCAGAGGTTGACAAACACTTACAGTTAAGGTCCAGAAAGTGATGATTT